TACGGGAAAGTAACGGTAATCTAATTACCGTTTTTGCAATAGTAATCCCTTACTTTACTCGTTACTTGAAAAAAGTAATCGGATTACAGTAACGCGTTACTGCCCATCTCTGTTAACAGCACAGTTAACCTTCAATTAAGGTGGAGGTAGGGCATCTTTGACAGCCTGTGGGTAGAAACTTTTATTGAGTCTGGGGGGGTGAATCTGCATGTTAATAATAATCACATTAACGTCAGTATAAGGAATTATATTATTAATAGCCTAAGTGTAAGGAATCACAGATGTGATTCATGGAGATTGCAAAAACTTGAAATTCTCAAGCGAAAATTTACAAAGAAGAATGTTTGAATAAAAACAAAAGCAAAAAGAGCGACCCAGGATTTGTTTCCATCATGGCTGCCACAACCACAAGCCAATGAACACATGATGCACCAGCAGTCAGTGGGTTAGGTCGTTGGCTCTACAAAGATTCACCACAGAAGTTTAAATCAGCTGTAAGAAGCTGAAGGAAATACACAGACTCTCTATGAACGCTAATCTCCATTAATATTTATACAAGTTTCTAAAGTTTAAAGAATTCCATTGAGTGTAAATTGAAAATATGGCATAAATTACAAATAGCAGGTGTTGATGTTTTTTAATCTTTCAGGTAGAAGATCACATAACAAAAAACGAAGACGGGAATCCATTATTGAGGTAAAACCGTTTTTACCTCGAGGCTGTTGCTAAGCTTTTGTGCTTAAGCTGTAAAGCATCTGAATCTGCTTGTTCCCCTGCTGCTTTAAAATATAGGTCAACCTGGAATAATGAGGTTCGCTCACGAGTTCTCCTGGTTCATATTTAACAGGTTCCTCAACACACAGCCGGAGGCCTTAAACGTAACGGTGGGAGATAAGCATTTCTACATGTCCTCCGGGTACAATGTGACTCATAACAAGACCGTGCAGCGGGGCGAGTAAGTCGGATTTTTGGGAAGTGGTGGTCAAAACTGGAAGAAAAAGCCCTAATGCCAAATATCTGCTAAGCTTTTCCCAACCTCACAAAAAAGCAAAAACAAGAGACATCACTTTTTTCATAATCCATGTCCAAAAAATGATTTTTTTTTTTGTTTAAAGCAACAAACAGTGTTAACATCAACGTATATCTTGTTAGTTAAATCATGCTGTTTGATTTTTTTCCTCTAATTCACGTAACTCTTCTGCCCTCTGCACAGATACACTGATGTCACCTGCATTT